AACAGCAGCCAGACGTTGAATTAACGTTCATTCATGGTTAAATGTACGACGTCGATTTGTGAACCAATCTCAACGTTATTTTAACGTGGATTCAACGTTGAATTATGGTTGACGAGATTGGCAACCTAATTTCAACGTTGTTTCAACGTCGAAACAGTAACATCGATCCAATTTGCATAGTCAACCCTTTTTCAACGTCTATCCAACGTCTGGAAGGTCATTTTCAACGTTGATTCAACGTTGGATAAACGTCATTTTGCCCGCTGGGACACACCTTACTCAGGTGGTAGATAAAATACCATCTTAGCTTAAAATAGGTCTTCAAAGTTACGCAATCTGTTCCACTCTAAAGGTGCAGTATTATTTTTTTGCCAAAAACACATGCATATAAAGGCAAATTAGGCACCTTTCTAGTTGGGACTTCGGGCTAGCTTTTGGTCCAAACATCGAAATTATTTCTTACGTTTTCCGAAATTAACCTTTCTCATTCTATGCGGCCTGGCCCTGTCCGCTTTTTTCTGGTGGAAAAATAATCAACAACACATGATGACGACTAGCGGAATTGAATAATAGTTTGCCACCCGAAAATGGCTGACAAAGTCTCGTCACATGGCCCTGATATTATCACAGATATTACGGATCTATACTAAATACGTATGACCAATAGTTTGCCTTAATAACAAAATGTGTTGAACCATGAGCTAAGATGCCATCCAGTTTGGTCTAAAGAGACTACTCGTAGCACTATTAACTGTGCTCTCGATGGCCGAAATATAATTGGTAACTTTTACCCCAGTAGAGCCTGAAGGAATTTTGAGGACGTTATGAAGTGTTGAAATGTTGAATATATTGAGTTACAAACTGCAAAGTATATTTGTCTAAATAACTAAATAAGACTGATTTCTAGCTAAATAAGGCTGATTTCTAGCTAGTCAAAGGTGATCACAGGATTTAGACTGGGCGATTTTCAGTACTCTTTTTGTGTTTACATCTTTGTAGTTACTCAACCGAGACAACCGACATTTCAACCCGCACTGATGTGCGAAGGCTGACTCTTCCACAGTCCCTCATCCGTACGCGGTACTCGCGGTCGCGATTAGCTTCACGTTTCATCGCATTCCCATTAGCCCCGCGCGCCCATTGTTCTCACACTGATCTCTATTTGAAACGGAAGCGACGAGGGACGAGGCAGGTGCGAAGCCTGGTGCGAAGGATTAATTCATAACGTGTTTGTTACCATAGGGATTTTACGCAAATTTAAAAAATCTACCTCTTACGTCTTACCCCCACCATTCAATTTTGATTACATTCCCGGAAATCCGGAATACGGCTAAAGGAATTGGAATACACCCAGCATTGTTTTAGGAGGGGGGGGTACGAATGAATTATTCCGATCTAAAGCCGGTTACAGACGAGCATGTTTTCTATGACAAGTTTTTATGTGACAAGTTTTATTTACTGGTGTGAACGTGACAATTTATTAGTAGCCAGCTGGCCAATCACATCAAATGCTCAGATTACTTTGACAAGTTTTCTTTGTTGATCCATACAGACGAAAAAAATTTGTACTTTGACAATTTTTTCTATGAATAGAAAAAAATGAGTGTCAAAGTTGCGCGTACAGACCAGCAAATAAAACTTGTCACATTGAAAACTTGTCATAGAAAATTTGCTTGTCTGTAACCGGCTTTATAGTTAGAAAAGACATGCCACATAGGAATGTTTTAATAGAGTGTCGCAGGTGGTTAATTTGGACCAGGATTGTAGAACTATGGTTGATTGGTGACAATTTTCAAGATGTAGTTCACGCTGTGAATTTTGTACTAACTGGATAAATTCCACAAACTTGAGAAATTAGGCATATGTCTTTGGTATGGAGTGCACTTATACAATAAGTGCTAAAAGATACTATCAGGAATTGCCGCTATAATTATTGCGGTATCTAACAGTCAGCTAATGATGTTACGTATGTTCAAGTAGATAATTTCGCATGTGTTACATCTAAAGACATTAATTACGTCATTGTGGCAAGTAGATGCATATATTATCAACTCGTCTTTAAAACTGTGGCAATTGATACACCAGGCGGAAATCTTAGTTTAAAGATAAAGAGCAAAGCCCAGAAGAGCAGAAGAGCTATTGCCATCGTCTGGCGTCCGCGTCCACAGCAGATGATAAGGTGAAATGTTATTAATTAAGATGCTACTTTTAATTTAATATCAGTATGTTCCACTTAAATGTTTATAATTTTGTCACAAGGGTATGCTGTAACGGATGGAGGGGGTGTGGGGTGTGAATTGAACAAAGCTTCAATGTTCAATATTTTTATACGGATTTTAGAAGCTATTAGTTATACTCATAACACTACAATACAAGAATTATGCCTTGTATTATAGAAGAACTATATAAAAGATCTCTCGATTAAAATGATGCAGAAATTTATTGCATTTTTCCAATGTTGGGAATCCGGTTCATGTGGGATAAAAAATTAAATAATTGTTGATAAATGTTGTCACTTCTGCGGGACATTTTGTTGATTATAATTGCTTTTTGTTTTGTTATTCACTGCTTCAATTAATCTGATGCAAAAAAGCGGAAAAAGTTATTTCCACCGGCAATTTTTAAGCGACTTGTATAGTAAATTCCGATTCCCATGCTAAACCACAGCTATATACACATGGCGAAGCCACACTGTGGAGTTTGGGCGCAATCAGGGACGCAATCGTCGTGGGTTCAAATCTTGTTGTGCACTCATGATGATATTTATATGAAAAGAGTCAGTCAACGCTCTACTGAAAGTCGTGGGTTTTTTCCGGGTACTCCGGATCCCGAGCTCCCACAGGGAAAGTTGAAAGGGCGGATTAGCCCTTAACTCATGACCCGTCTGTCGTAGCTGCGCTCCGTAACCAGGCGGATGAATCATCAATCATAAAGGTGACAACTGAAGGTGCCTTTAGAAAGCCCTCAATCCGACCAGGTTGTGTTGCGTCCTTCGCAATATGCTCAGTTGCATGCAGCTCTAAGCTACAAGTATGGATAATTAGCACCACTTCCCGCCCCTTTCTTAATTAAACGTACTATATTCGATGAACAAAATCTAGCCGGTAATAAAGAAGCCAAGCGGTTTCCAACATTACTGAATAGATGTTTACATTTAATTTATTTTAATATAATAAATAAAATACACTGCAAAAATGTTTGACACAAAAACTTGTTTAATTAATTCTCAAATTCATTAATAATTCATGAGCAATTCAGCCAATGATAATCACCTATTTGATGATTTTGATCACAAGATGCCATTTGGATAACCCGGTGAAACTTGATGAAAGTCACTAGTGTTTTCATCAAATATCTTAATTACGCAAGCACAATTACTTTAATAGAATTTCTAATTACGTTATGCTTGGTTAAGAATTCTATTCAAATCAGCAATCGAAAACATTCTGTTACGTCTCGATTCATTTGAGAAGCCATATAAACAACTCGAGCTCGTGTCTCACCGGGATATCCAAACACTCGTGAAAACAATGTATGAAAACACTCGCGCTTCGCGCTCGTTTTTTTTTTCATACATTGTTTTCTCGTGTTTGGATATCCCGGTGAAACACTCGCTCTCGTTGTTCATATATTACGTAAAATATTGAGAAAGTATTCAAATTTATGAGCAAATTTAAATTTACTCATTCAGTTTGAAGGAAATCTTTAACAAAAAAACATAGTAAATATGCTCATAAATTTTGGTAATTTTATTCAACATAGTTTTGAGTCACGAACTTCACTGAAGTGATAAACTATTCCAAAGTTTAGAGCCGGTTTTCCACTAGGCGGAATTTTGCGCGCGGAGCGGAATTTTTCTTTATCTTGTGATTTCTCGGGTGGAACTAATTAGAAAAGACAAAGAAAGATTCCGCTCCGCGCGCAAAATTCCGTCTAGTGGAAAACCGGCTTAACTGAGGGTACTGAAAAAGATTTAAAGCGTTTCGTTCTAGCATATGGGATATGAAAATTGGCCCCTATATACGGAGAATGTGGATTGTTACCGACTAGTAGTTATTGAACCGTACAGAGTTCCTGTAAATAAAAATGGTACAAGATCATTTAATATTTTATAAATCATCACAACATACAAGTAAAATTATGCTGTTTGTTAACACTGGATTAGGTTGGACCTGTGCCACCATCTGCACGCCATCATTTACTCTCATCTCGGTAATGACTGCATGAGTGACTGGTGCGAATGAAAAACATGAAAAATAATTCAGAATGACTGCGCGTCCAAATGACGCGTTCTGCGTCGTACCAAGTTGCGGTTGCATCATAACATGTGGCTGAGACTGCAATGATTATAACAATATGCATATCAAAGTATTCAACTGTTCAATCATCTTTTATGTTTCACTTAATTATAGCCAGAAATTTTGTACTAACATATTCTGTCTAAAGCAAAATAGAGAATAATTAAGGGAGTAGTATATTAAAAATTCCACTCGGTCGAAAGCGCGAATTGATTGGCATGGCGTCATCGTGCTTAGGCTATGCGTGGTGTTACCGATTGTTCTAGACCGCATATAAGTCTTGCCGGGCTAATGAGTGTATTGAATGGCTTATATTATAGTTATAACTTATATATAGTATTTCAGAATAACTGCTGAAAAGCCCCGGACTTATAATTATACACTGTAAATTTCAAGGAGTTGAATCAACTCCAAAAGCCTGCGGTGTTCTGTCACCAAAAACGGTGACAGAATATAACTGCCGTTTTGAGTTGATTCAACTCCTTAGAACTTACAGTGTATAAGCTTTTGAAAGAACATTTTAGTTTAAGTTGGTTAATATCCTAAAAGTACATTAAAATTCCACAGTGTGGTTTAAAAACCTGAATTCTGTATGGTGGTCTGGTAGGAGTACGTTACGGTGTATCAACTATAACATATGTAGTTGATTAGTTTAGTTATAATGCCCCTTTGGACATGTTTTGGAATCCAAACCACAAATCACAATATTTTTTAATAATTCGTTAATATATATTAGGGACGGACCATTAGAAAAGTGATGGGGAGGGTGGGGAAAAAACAGAAAAAAAATCCATGCAAACAAAAAAGGTTTGAAAAAAAATACATGCAAACAGACTTGTTTAAAAAAAAAATTACAAACAGAACAACAATAGAACTTTAATTTTAAATGTACATCCGACAAAATTGAACTAAATCTTTCGGAATATTTCAGAATATAAATATATCAAAATATATAATATATTAATATGCAATTTCTTTCAATATTAACAGTAACTCTTATGTAGTTTCATTATATTTATTTATGACAGTATTTCAGTAGGAAGCTACACTCACAACAAGGTGATTTTCAGGCAGGTCCTACGATATCAATTAAAATACAAATAAAACTACATTATAATAGCATATATAAAAAAGTATGTTTAAAATTATATCAGCTAAAATCGTATATAGAGTTCTTAAAAGAAGTCAAATTGTTCGATTGTCTTTGGTCTAAATTAATATAGAGTTCTTATATAGAGTTCTTAAAAGAAGTCAAATTGTTCGATTGTCTTTGGTCTAAATTAAGGTTATTCCAATCAACGACTTTTTGATATATATAGCGTTGTTTTCCCCAGTTAGTACGCGAGCGTGGAAGATGTAAATCCTGACGGCGGCGTGTGTTGTGGGAGTGAATTTCAGGTTGAATTGATATTTTATATACTTATTTATACATTTATAAATACCAATACAACGATGTTGGCGTCGACGTTCTGATAGAGGCATCCAGTTTAGCTGTGCGAGGGCTTTGGTACCGGAAAAGTATTTGGGATAATCCAGTATAGTTCTTGCTGCGTTATTTTGCAAAACCTGGAGATTATGCATTAGGACTTTATTGTTCTTGTCCCCCCACACAATACACACACACACATATACTATCAAAATATTTTCTATTGTATTTAATAATTAATTCTCATTCACACTGCCACTGTCCTCAGTGGCGTAACTACTATGGGCTCGGACTGGGAGAATCCGGGGGCCACCAACCCCAATGGGCCCGCAAATGGGGGGCCCCAGGCTCAGGCTATAGAGCAAAAACATTGGCCAAGGGCCTCTGATATGTTACAATGGAGTTTTCTGACCATCAGAATTCTGTAAAATCTCTCCCCAAAGTCCGGGAAATGGTATTTCAGAGAATTTAGATTAAAAAATTTTCCCGGTGAGCATGCTCTGGACCCCTAGAAAACTTGTCCATATATGGTGCTTAAAGATATAATTTTGCAGTGTGTATTAAAGGGATATTTTTTTGTCAAGAGAACAGTTTCGTTAACATTTGTATAATTGTATTGGAAAAAAATTGCATGCGAAAAGACATATTTAAAAAAAACATGCATACACAGCTGACAACCTGGAAAAAAATGCAAACAAAAAAAATTTACCCCCCCCCCCCATCACTTTTCTAATGGTCCGTCCCTTAATTTATACCTTCGGCACCATTGTATTAACACTCTTACCGCCATATCTAATTTTATTACGTTGAAACCTACTCACACTTTCAAAATTTATTGGGTGAATACAGATATCTTAAAGACGCCTCTATAGGGATACAACTGTTATAAAAGAGGCTATTAATTAGGGGGAAGTCGATTTTGTCTCCGTGTTTTTAATCTAAATGATACTTGCGAAGTTCATGGCTTATCACACCGGGTTATTGACACTGCAACATTTATTTTCGCGTGCCGAGACAAACTTCAATGTTGACCAATCGAAACTGTTGTGTTGAGAATTGTGGTAATATTAGTTAATTAGGATAATATATATTTAGTTATTAAGAACTGTCAATCAAATAATGCGTGCGTCATTAAGTAGAGTATCAAATTTATAGGAGTGATTAAGTGATAGCGTAACTGTTGAGACTGTGAATTTAGAGCTAGTGATTTTGTGATTCGTAAAGTGATTTAGAGAAAAACCCAAACTATTGTGACTGTGTTGGCTTAACATTTAACATAAAAATCGAGATACCGTCCGGAAAAGCACCAGCAACCAAACGAGGAATACTCGGTAAAATAGCCAAAATCTACGATCCCCTCGGACTGATCGCACCAGTGACACTGCAGGGAAAATTCCTCTACCGGGATTGTTGCGACGCCAAGTTACCTTGGGACAACAAACTTCCAAATGAGTTGGAAGTTAGATGGTCTACCTGGGAAGAGAATCTTTCAGGTCACGTGAGAGCACCCCGAACTCTAGCAAAGCACCAAGAAGCCATCAACGAAATCGAATTGCACACATTCGGCGATGCAAGTGGGCAAGGCGTGGCGGCAACTGTTATAGCGGTCGTTCGACAAGCAAGTGGTACATCACAAGGTCTTGTGGCTGCGAAATCGCGATTGGCCAAGAAAAACCTAACCATACCTCGTCTGGAACTGGTTTCGGCGCACATGGCCACCAACTTAGTCCATAATGTTCGAGAAGCGTTGGTGGGATTCCCCGTGAACCAAGTATTCGGCTGGTTGGACAGCACAGTAGCTCTTCATTGGATACGCGGAGGGGGAGATTTCAAACAGTTCGTGGGAAATCGTGTGCGCAAGATTCAAGAGAAAGATTACATCCAATGGAACCACGTCCCGACCAAAGAAAATCCGGCCGACCTTGGAAGCAGAGGTGGAAAAATCACCGAAACAGATCGCCTCTGGTGGGAAGGCCCAGAGTGGCTAACAACTAAAGAAAACTGGCCAGCAGATATCGTGACAAGTGCCAGTAAGGAGAGTACAGCGGAAACCAAACCGATTAGAGAGATATTCAACATCGCCATTCCTCAACCTGACGTGTTTGATCAACTGCTGAAGAAGTGGAATTTTTGGAGAACTTTGAGAATTTGTGCATGGGTCTCGAGATTTGCTCGTAACGCTGGTAGAGTGAATGAAAGCGTACGTGGCCCATTGTCAACCGAAGAGATCCAAGAACGAGAAGCATGGTGGATAATAAAGGTACAAAGAAGAAATCGAGATACACCGGAATTCGAAGAAGATCGTGCGAGATTAAACCTTAAACCGAGTGATGGTGGCATTCTTGAATGTCATGGCCGAATACAAGGAGACTAATTCCCAACCTACCTCCCTGACAATGACATATACACCGAGAAACTAGTGAAACATGCTCACAATGTGACCCTCCATGGGGGAGTGGGTCTGACTATGGCTAAGGTACGAGAGAGCCACTGGATTCCACGACTGAGGAGACTTACTAGAAGAGTTATCAAGAACTGTTTCGGATGTAGACGGTTCCATGCAACACATTTTCCAAACCCACAACCTGGGAAATTACCGAAAGATCGGACTGAGGGTGATTTGCCTTTCCAAGTCGTAGGGGTCGACTATGCGGGTCCAATTAGGTACCAGAAACGGGGAAAGCAAGAAGGCAAGGCCTATATAATTGTATATGCGTGTTCTTTGACCCGTGCGATGTATCTCGAGTTAACGAAGACCATGAGTACAGAAGAATTCCTTTCAACATTCAAACGATTCGTCGCGAGGAAAGGGCGCCCATTGAAAGTGTATTCCGATAACGCGAAGACATTTGTTGCCGGGGCGAAGTGGATAAAGCAAGTTATGAAGGACGAAAAGTTTAATGATTTCCTGGCTAAGATGTCGATCAAGTGGCAATTCAACATGAGTCGAGCTCCTTGGTGGGGCGGACAGTACGAGCGGTTGATTGGACTTGTAAAACAAGCTATGTACAAGTCCATTGGTAACGGGTTTCTCTCCTGGACGGAGTTGGAAGATGTCATCCTGGACGTGGAAGTGACGTTAAACAACCGACCTCTCAGCTACGTAGAAGAAGACGTCCAACTGCCCTTACTTACACCGAATACGTTGCAATTCGGCCGACCAAACATATTGCCAGAACAACCAGAGCATCAAATCGATAATCTCGATCTCCGCAAGAGAGCAAAGTATATCCGGCGATGTAAGGACGTGTTGTGGAAAAGATGGTCTTCTGAATATTTGAAGGCTCTCCGAGAGCGGCATAACATGAAACATCACGGTAAAGTTGTAAGTATAAAGATTGGAGACGTCGTTATCGTGAAAGGCGAGGAAAATAATCGGGGAAAGTGGAAAACCGGAGTTGTAGAACGACTCGTAGTGGGTAAAGACGGTATCGTACGGGGAGCGAAACTACGAGTAGGACAGAACACATTAGAACGTGCAGTTCAACACCTATACCCTATGGAACTGTCCTGTGACGTAGCCGTAAAGACGCCAGCAGGGGCGTAGGAAGTGGGGGGGGCACGGGGGGCACGTGCCCCCCCAAATTTTTTTAAAGGACTAAAAGTGCCCTTTTTTGTGATAAAAAGTGCCCTTTTTGTGTTGAAAAGTGCCCTTTTTTGTGAGGAAAAGTGCCCCTTTTGTAGAAGCTAATGTCGCTGTAAATACTAAATTAAAACGATAGGTGCCGTTTTTGTGTGGAAATTTCCAAATTTTTTTTAAAAATTAGGTCACAAACATAAATTTCGGTATGATACGACGGAAAATTTTCCTCAGGAGAAATTTCTCTTCCCCCCCCCCGTCGACAACATTTCCGGGAAAAATTTTTTAGGTGCCCTTTCCGATAGTAATGTGCCCCTACAAGCCGGTGCCCCCCCAAACTCCAGGTGCTTCCTACGCCCCTGGACGCCAGAGTCGAGACCAAGAGAAACAGAACTGAGAGCTAATGTACCCGAGTTCAGACCAAAGAGAAATGCTGCAGCGATAGCAGAATGTCGAATTCAGGACCTAGCAGGTGACGAACAGAATTAGAACGTTAATCATATATAGATACATATTCAGCCATATAGAGAACAATATATCTTGAGTAATACAATATAATTTAAATTTTGTTAGGTTACGAACAGTCAAATTTACACATATAGTCGAACTCAATCATTATGGACGGTGAACGAAAACACAATTCATTCACATTCGTTTTACAGAAAACGAATAGGGGGAGTGGGTTGAGAATTGTGGTAATATTAGTTAATTAGGATAATATATATTTAGTTATTAAGAACTGTCAATCAAATAATGCATGCGTCATAAGTTAATTAAGTAGAGTATCAAATTTATAGGAGTGATTAAGTGATAGCGTAATTGTTGAGACTGTGAATTTAGAGCTAGTGATTTTGTGATTCGTAAAGTGATGTAGAGAAAAACCCAAACTATTGTGACTGTGTTGGCTTAACATTTAGCCTCTAACGGCATTCCCGACAGTTGCTATTAGATAGATAGATAGATAGATAGATAGATAGATAGATAGATATAGATAGTTTTAATGGAATTGCCTTGCAACCAGCAGGTTGAATTGTTGTACATACAGTACAGGTTAGAACAAAATATCTGGTACGAAATTTAATATTAACATGCCGCCGTACAGCCGTGCCGCTAAGCTTGTGAAACTATAGAAAGTAAAATTTGAACTAATTAATTCGGTTTTCTTATCTCATCAACGTTGATTGTTTTAACACTCTATGATTTCTTATAAATTCGATTAAGGGAGCTATTTGTTATTAAACATGTAATTGCAGCGTAATACTAATAGTTATATATACGATGGCCGATACTATAGTCACTAACATTTTGACACAAACATACCAACCTTCTACAACTGTTGTGAAATAACTACTAGAAAGTTGATTTAGTTGGTTAAAATAAACATTCTGCTGTCTGATCATGATTTAATGTTTTTTGATACTTTTCTTTAATTCGTCACATCCGGAGAAAAAATCACGAGCGCAACATCTGTGAATAATAACGAGTTTAGGCTTTTGTCGAGGGTCGAGTGTCGAGGGTCCAATGTCGAGGGTGAGGGTAAAAAGTCGAGGGTGAGGGTAAAAAGTCGAGGGTGAGAGTAAAAAGTCGAGGGTCATAAAAAAGTTGAGGGTTGTATTTTTACGACAACTATAAGACAACTACTAACGATAAAAGAGTTTTTAAAACGGTGTTTCGATTATTTTCTAAGTCCCTTCACGCTCGCAAGTTAACATGTTTATGTCTAATATGAGAACGGTCTCTTTGCTTTCTTATCAAATTAACGTAACAGCATAGATTATCGGGCAGCTGTAATCCTCTCCTCAAGCCAGTAATGGCAATACATTAAGGCAAAATATATTACCAATAGCAAGTTATGATAAAAAAAAAACTTGTGTGGTTTTCTGCTAGATCGGAGCGCGGTTTATAGCGCGGTGCAGACATGCCACTGTTTCAACTAGAAACCAATTAACGCTAAATGATTCAGTCAATATTACTCGTCTCACGGCCAAACATTGGCATTGACCAACCTCGCAAGCACACCTGCGGCGGGACGGTTGAACATTGCCATTGGCCTGTTTATGAAATTGTACTACGTTTAGAAACTTTTTTAAGACTTTTAAGTTAATATTGACAATAAATGCTCTTTGACTTTGCTTTTAATGAAAAAATTCTGCCTTTTTATCTAAAAATGCCTTAATCAAAAGTGGCCTGGAGACATTACACGCTAGAAGACATGCTGCGTGCGTGAAACTTTTTAACCAGACGACCCAAACCATCAACTTAATGAGTTAGTTTCTAGACCAGAATTCTCCTTAATTCATGATTTACATAAGGAGAAACACCGTATTAAAAACTCTTTTATCGTTAGTAGTTGTCTTAGCTGTCGTAAAAATACAACCCTCAACTTTTTTATGACCCTCGACTTTTTATCCTCACCCTCGACTTTTTACCCTCACCCTCGACTTTTTACCCTCACCCTCGACTTTTTACCCTCACCCTCAACTTTTTACCCTCACCCTCGACTTTTTACCCTCACCCTCGACATTGGACCCTCGACACTCGACCCTCGACAAAAACCTAAACTCAATAATAACGACACTTGAATATGGCATGACATTTGTCTTGACTGCTTCAAGTACTCACGAAGGAAGAGTCAGTAAATGCTTGCCCAGCTGCCCTGTGGGGAAGCTAGAAACTAATGAATAGTCAGTGAAGTGCACTTGTTAAATTTAACGACGAAATTTTCCAGAGACGAATCTTGGTTGTGAAATTTATTATGGAGAGCTAAATTTTCAAATTCTGTGGACGATTGTTGGTATGTTGATTATCTTGTTTGAATATTGATTCGCGTTTATATATACGCAATTTCTGCGATTGCATCTCAGTATTATTAATCAATAATGTTTACAAAGTATTTAAAGTAAGATAGCATCATTTTAGTATCAGTTGTTAGTCAAAGTATACAGATAAGTAAGGTATACGTACAGTGTTTAGACCAACTAGAGTAGGAATCGGAACTGTATTCAAGCCAATACTATTAACAGCTGGAAAATATTTGTCAACAAGTGCTTTCTTAAGTGAAATTATGACCACAAACATCAGGAGACACCAAATTTTAAAGGAATAATATTTTGCTTTTAGGAAGTTTCCTGCCGTGACCTATAGTCATGTTGTGGTTCGTAAATCAGTACCTTTTATGAACAAAATACGCCAGAAGTAGTGATAATACAGTATCTAAATGCAAATATTTCAGATAAATGTCCCATAAAATGGCTACACAGTATAACACAGTATTTTACTACACAAAATTATAGACATAGTATTTTGTGATTGTGAAATAATGAAGGCCGTTGTTGCGGCAGTTTGAGTTTCTTAATTAACCAGCAAGTGTTGTATACTTGTGTTGTATACCTGCTCTAAGCAGCATGCACTTGTGTTCATAAAGCCATGATCTTTATATATCACCATTCATAATTATCCATCTTTAATTATTTATTTGCCAGGAGTTTCTTTTGTATAGGACCGACAAACATGCATTTCTTATAAATTTCCTATTTTTGTTATATAAAGCGCCTACTACTGGGATAATCCGATTGAATATAGTAAAAAGGATTCTTATGATTAACTCCGATCCTTTGTCTTTGAGTGGGCGGTTTTAATCAATATAATTATTGGTAATTACATGCATATCTACTGTAGTGCACAGTATAGGCAAATCTAATGATTTATCATTTTGAGTTTTTTTTCGTCTTGTGAAGTCTTTAGCACAAAATAGAAATCAGATGTAAATGATTTGAATTTTGCAAAGATCTACATGTATTACACAAAAATCATTGTACAGATCTAAATAAGCCTATATTGTACTATCAAGTATACGTAAGAAATACAACGTCTGCGAGCAGGCTAACTATCTAGCCAAGGGGGAGCTCTATAATATATTTTTTTAACCCTCTTCTCTTCCTTCTCTTGCGGAATACGGAGTAGTCCGTATTCCGACTTCGTACTCCGCACTCCGTCTTTCTACTACGCCTTCTCCGTGATCAAATAATGCTTCTGCAATTTCTATACAAGACTGTGATTAAATTTCACCGACAAGGAGGCCAACAATTCTGTCAAGGGGACGACCTTTGGACGGCAAAGGGCTCAGCATAGGATAGTACAAGGTGTATTAAAAAAGTCTGACAATCCAACTTTGGCATGTTATTGTGCGTTAGATATTGAATTTATAGATTTGCTTTATTCACATTAATAAAGATCACTGAAATGACACCATTCTGATACTAGAATATGACCAAATACGATCCGATTTAAAGTGGCTCGCGCTCGTCCGAAATCGCATTTTCTATACCCATGCCCATGAGAATTAATGGATTGAAGTTCTTTCACTTTTTGAACATTTGCCCGAATGTGCTACTGAAACGTTAGGCATCGTGAATTCGGTCTGCAAACCCCCAGTTTCTCACTTAAACCACGATGTTCCTTGTTAGATATCGCGAGTGGATTCAGTTAAGTTTACCAAGACTTGATAATTTTAATTAATCCATGTGATGTAACGCCATCTTTGTTCAAGGTCTTCGAAACTTTGAGAACATTTCAATACTAAGACAATACCTCCACATTCCATTCCATTCCCAAACGAGGAAAATGCGATTTCGACCGAACATTGTAAGTCGGTTCATAATTGGTCATTCGTTGTCGTAATGACACAAAAATGAAGTCATTTGACTTATTTTGACAACTAAAAGAGTCCAGATCTATTTAAGACTTATATAAGTGTGGAAAATGTAGATATCGCAGACGCAAAGATAACATGCCAAACTATAAGTCAGATTAACTTTTTTATACAGCCTATATACATTATTCGATGTGATGTTCTCAAGTATATTATTAAATATTAATATACATTACATGTATGAATTGGTCTTGAATTGATCTTGAATTTTGGACTTTAGTGTAAAGTTAGTTTAGAGAACAAATGGGAAAGGTTTTTCTCTAATTATACTACTGTTGTCTAGACTATATAATATGACGTTAAAGGCCACTCACTGATCGCATGTTGGGGAAAAAACGGAATCTGGTGTAATTTAAAACGACTTTAAAACGGCTCAGAGAAACACTTTTTATACAAACTCCGTACTCCCCACTCCCCCATGCCCATGCAAAATTTACTTTCCCTAAATTTTGAATATCATGGATCCCCCAGAAATTCAGTAAGTGTTTATAGTGCTCTCAAAACAAAAGGAAATGCCACATTAGTGACTTGATAGATTTTAAAAATATGCCAGGGGCTATATATAGTGAAAAATCCATAACTTATAACTATCCATGAGGTAGGCTATAAGTAAATGGGCTTAACAAACTTTGAATTGAGTGATCTAAAACCATATGGTTCAATCGTACTAAATACACGTATTTCTATTATTGAACAAATTTTATATTTGCGTAAAAAAATATTGATTTATCAATGAAAACCACATGTCTGAACGTACATGTTAGTAATTTTGTCGATGATTGTGAAGAATTTAGATAGATGGCATTTAGTTCCCGCTGAATTGTAGTGATGAAAAATCCCCCAAATCCCATGTGACCGCACAACCAGCAAATTATGAATCATCCACTCGATATTATGACGAAATTGGAAACAAATTCAACACTGAAAGAAAATCAGCAATTCACTTATAAAAGAACTGAATACTAAAAGCGTTTTGTAATAATATGCAATTTATTAAAGTGCATCTATATTAATATATTTCCTCAAGGCTCTCTTTCCCTAAACTATGGAGGCTGCTTATAGTTATTTTCACGATGTGCATGTATAGGCGTCCCTGGATTCTGATGCCCTGTTTATATGCCTTCGTAATTCCTCAAAGGTACAATTAAATATTTTTAAATTAAGTTGGAAAACAGATGTTGTTTACAAACTCCGCTAAGGATTTTGTTACAAAGTCAAAATTGTGACACTTTAATTATCATGAAAAGAAAAAAAGACCTTATGGAATATATATGTGAATTTCAAATTAAACATTTTAATTGATTGACCACGACAGCAATATTATATATACATTCAGGCACTACAAGCATGCAATGGCTATGTTTTATCTATAGTTTAATTAGGTGACCTAATACAGTCAATACAGTCATGGCTGCTTAAGAATGAAATATACAAACTAATGATTACTCACAATGCATGCACAAAATAGGGGGCCTTTGGGGAGGGGGGGAATGCAGCCGTGCTGATCGGGCAGATACCAACTTAAAAATTGGGCAATTTTGCTAGACCTGCCCACCTTCGTATGTAATGTGTTCTGTCAGGATATTAATTTTGAAATATTAACATTTAAAGTTTAGTCATAGAAACTGAATGACAGATTGAAATTTTGACGTATTTTAAAGAGTGAAATCCTTGAATATTCGTAAATAGGTCTTATTATTTTAAATTTGACTTTATTTCCAGGCGTCTATATATATAGACGTGTTCCTTCTGTTTATCGTCTACTCACCACTATGAATAAACACGTGATAATGTCGGACAATTTCCATCAAGGTCAGGGCTATATTTAGGACTTTATTTGTCCTGTTGTCTGCATGAGCCTTCAATTGTTATAATTGTAAAATTAATTTTAAAATGTCTCCCCCCCCCCCTAATTATTTCCACCCTTACGCGCCTTTATGGATGGTCCCTGACAAAAGTTGGTATAACATCAGCTAATAGACGTCTCAACGTTCACTGATGGTTGACTGGATGACATCATCAAAATTGTTCCATTTTTTAAGCTCTAGGACTGCAATTATGGCGTTTTCTAAACCAAATTCGCAAACAAATTGAATGTAAATTGACTGTATATTTTACAAAAATGGTTATATATTATTTCACACAAATAATTACTTTATTACGCAAATTTTACCTGAAAATATCAAAATATTAACTGGAATCTTACCGGATTTTTGTCTGAGTTTTACAGTTGGGGGGTGGGGGTGGTTTACACGTCACATCTCGCAAAAAATGCCAAAATTAAACCTAAATTTCACACTTTTCCTTCGGTAAATTGTTTTAAAACTTTGCACATTTCTTAATATCGGCTAAACAAGCTCAATATCCTTTTTTTCTTAAACTTTTATTGAAGGGAATAATCTAAGTAACGTTCCATAGAATTTTTTAAAATTGAAGAAAACAAAATCATTATCCGAGAAAGATCTTTTATACAAATTTTTAAAACGGCCGGAAAAAAACAAATTTTGAGCTTAATTATCCTAAGCGCACTGTCACCATGTAACGGACTTTCAGCGCAAAAGTAGTAAATTGCAATGTTCAGGAGAGCATTGTCAATGTGTCCAATAAATTTCGTCTTCGTGTCATATAAAGTGAAGAAACAGGAGTTTTCTGCATGGATACAAAAGTGTAGTATAATGCAAAAATCCTATGGAGCCACCTTAAAATAGTTTTTTATTATTAATTTTTCTGTGTTTGTGTTGTGTACTCAGGTGAATAATATGTTTGTGATGTTACTCTGAGTGCATATCCACACCGGGCGAGCTTGAAAAATATGCCCAGCCACGGTGGGATTCGAACCTACGACCTTTGGAATACTAGCCCAATGCTCTTCCAACTGAGCTACGCGGTCAGGACGGTTCGAGTAAGTGATATTTCGGAACAGTAACTAGTTCCTTCAATACCAATGTGTTCTAGTAATATGAATTTTTCTGTGTTGGTGTTGTGTACTCAGGTGAATAATATGTTTGTGATGTTACTCTGAGTGCATATCCACACCGGGCGAGCTTAAAAAATATGCCCGGCCACGGTGGGATTCGAACCTACGACCTTTGGAATACTAGCCCATTTTTATTATTAACCCCGTTTTTAATTATTATTTTATGACTTTTAAACACAGAAATCACTCGTGGTCACTCGTGGTCATTCGTGGTCACTCGTGGTCACTCGTGTGTACTTTTAGACAAGACAGTTCCGGAGTGATGCTGTTCCGGTGTTCCGTTGTTCCGGTGTTCCTGGTTTTACTAATAGCCAAGTTGCACATCTTCATGGTCATAGAGGATTGCGTCTGCATGAGCACTGAAAAGAAATTTTTAAACTGCACTATATAGTACCGGAGGATTTTGCCCATGCAGAGTTAAAAATTTCACTTGTCAAATGGTTTGGTTGATAAATTTATCGGGGAAATTTTCCGATGTTAAAAATGAATGAATAATTAAATCATGATGGATTTCACGTATTATGCATATATTATGCATAATATTACATTATTTTTCAACCGATTAAATAAATATAGCCTTTAGGCCCGTTTACACGTTTCTGATTTAAGTTCAGCACTAGAGGTGTGCGTCGGATCGGATTGACCTCTTTGAATCCAATGGTTTGTCTAAGTTCTCAATCCGAATCCGATCCGATCCGAAGATGAAAAAACAATCCGATCCGAAAAAATGTTTATAAAATCCGATCCGATCCGATGCTAAAATTCGTAATCCGATCCGATCCGAACTTAAGTTATTATATACAGCGTGCGTTAATTATTCGGTGTATGAAGTTCAACGTATTTTTTCATGATCATAAACGATATATTGGAAATAATGAATTTCCAGCAAAAATAAGCAGATACGAATCCGATAAAAATTGCAGCGCGATATCACATAATTATGCCTTATGCAGTTAAACGACTAGTCACATAGTTTATTATATGCATGACCTTGAGCTGGGTTTACAATTTAAAACATCTTAAAGTTTATCACTAATAAATCTCATTGTCAGTGCTTCATGACACATAAACCTGACAAACTAAACAAAGAATCACAACATTTCTATATCCCAATTCCCATACGTAACCGATTTAAGAAGAATCCACATATAACGCCAGTGTTTCTTTTGTCAGAAATATCAAAACACTTTTTTTACTTTATTGTCATCACTCGGCATTATATAGTATTACTCCGCTTCGACCAAATCACTCGGCTTACTCAGCTCCAAAGCCTTCCAGGCACTTCCTGCTACAGAACTATCTTAATTTGTTAAAATATTCAAGTAATTCGACGCAATACAAGAAAAAAACCAAATCCGATCCGATCCGACAAAAAACCTACAAAATCCGATCCGATCCGACAATAAAAAAAGGAAATCCGATCCGATCCGAGTGAATCGGATCGGATTCGTATCGGATTCGCACACCTTTATTCAGCACATACTTTTTTAAAAACGACTAGGCCTATATAGGTACTCTTGTTTGTGCTCTGTTGCAAATATTCATGATTTTATATAGACGACATCATGTTGAACTTGGATAGTCATGTTGAACTTGGATCAAGAGTCGTCTCGACATTCTATTGCGTCAATGATAATCGGATATACAGTCTATTGTCTATAGAAGTAATGGAGTTACTGTGATTTTTGCAAAATCAGTTTTTTATTAAAATAATATAACAGCAGCTGTTGCTTCTCTCACACTTACATTTATAATACGCTGATTATATTTAATCCGTTCTAATTCCCCACTAATAATTAATAAATTCTGATAAAATTAATATTCAATATATAGCGCGGCATTATTTATTAACAGCATGGCCATGGGTATACTTTCCAAATTCCAATCATCACAATCGAGACTGAATTAAGAACATATTGACAGTCTTCAAAATTGGTCAAATACTACCAAAATTACTGAATTTTGATTCCTATAATTCTATTCTTTTCATCTATCTAATCTTGGCATCATTACTGAATTGAACGTACATTAACATGAATTAAATACTGTCATATAGGGCATAGGTGCATGTGGAATTATTTAAAGATCACACTGTCAGATAACTAGTTCGTCGGGGGTGGAAACGGAATATTATTCGTGGCATTATTCAATATTTCTACCTCCACTCGGGCTTCGGTATTCCTTTGCTGCAAATATTCATTCTATACTCCTACCCCTACTATATATATATATATATATATATATATATATATATATATATATATATATATATATATATATATATATAAAGATAAAATAAACCTGGTTTACTTCATAAGATTTATTCACTACAAACTTGTTTCGTATGACAAGCAATGCTTGCCACACTCATCAGGTGAATTTAAATGTCGCTCTATACTTTGGTATATCGAGCACTCTACTCATATATGATTCTAAATACATATTTGGTATATATATATATATATATATATATATATATATATATATATATATATATATATATATATATATTTTTTGACTAACATTTTTAATCGGCCTCGTACATGCTTATTTTTTCTCCACTTGGCATGAAAGCATGTCATTCAATAGCTAAAAAGCCTGACCTTTCCGAATATGAAAACCAATTGTTCATACGCCGAGTAATTCACGTATAGGCTAATAGCGCGCTGAAATTCGATTTCCTTTTTTTTTATACACCCTGTATATAACAGTAGCGATTGATACACCGGGTGGAAAGCGTAATTTAAAAATGAAAATTAAAGCCCAGCAAATGACTTTTAGACAAGACATAACAAAATATAAAATTTATTGGCTAACGTTTCGTTGTATTGTAATTTTATATTTTGTTATGTCTTGTCTGAAAGTCATTTGCTGCATGGGCTTTAATTTTCATTCTTTATAATCACCCTGTATATATATATATATATTCGAGAAATCAATAAATACTTTATTTTCCAAAGTTAAAGGTAATGTTATAGGCCTACAATTGTTAAACACGGGATTAACAACCCTTTCGTTAGATTACACATGCACCACGTTAAACTCTTTAAACCCAACAAATTTGCTTCAGTTACCAAAATGCTGAAGACGCTTCATTCATCTCCGCAAGCGATGTAGTTAATATCTGGATTGGGCCAATATATCATCAGTTTCATGACCAGCATCGTTGATCTTCACTTCTTTAACCTTTCTATAGCAGCTCTCCAGGAATCAAAAATCTTCAAAGCCCACTTTGTCGCGTATCTTGTACATGGAGGCGTCGCTCTTTCGGGCAACGTTTGCTCCTCTTCAGCACTTCGAGCGCTTCGAAACCGACTCATTAACGACACAAGTCAAATTTTCATTTGAAAACTCCGTTTAACGACTTGTATGACTTGATAATTAATCCAGTCATTAATAAATGCCGCACGCTGATTGGTTGATTACCGGTCTGGAAAAAGTCATCTTGCCCGCTCAAGAAATTCATCTTGCCCGCTCGTGAAATTGTAAAAACACTGTCCAAAAATTTTCAAAAAGAAGCTATAGTAAATTTTATTTAATGCCGTATAGTGACGACGAGGAACACTCACCGAGTGAATTTTATTATCCTGATGAAATCTCGGATGAAACAAATGACCCAAATGGTAGGCTTGAAGGCGAAAACGCCGAACAAAACAACAACAAAAACAGCCAAGAAAAAATTGAAGAATTTATACACAACCACAAAGCGAAAACCACATTAAAGAAAACGAAAAGCGACATGAAGGTTTTCCAACGTTACCTGGAGACAGTAATTAACAAAGGTGAAAAACAAATTGAGTACTTATACCGAAAGCAAAACTTGACCACTTACTCTGCAAATTTTTTATCAATGTCCGTAAAGCAAATAGCGCGCGACGAATACGAACCGTCTTCACTGTCAAGTTTCCAGAGAAGTTTACAACGATACTTAACTGAAAATAACATTCAAACAAACATTTTAAAAGACATTGAATTCGAGAAGTCTCGACAAGTCTTAGCTGCCAAAAGAAAAAATCTTGCAAAACAAGGAAAAGGATGCAAACCACAAGCAACGAGAGCACTAATTACGGACGACGAAGAGAACATGCACTCTATTTGTCACTGGCCAGTTTGGCGATAGCTCTCCAAGAACTATGTGGTGGTTTCTATCTATATGCACTTTGGTTTTCATGCCAGAGACGAAAGTCGAAAGTTACGCTGGGGGCGACGCCGTTGAACTACAAAACGACCGAGAAGACAATCGTGAAATGTTGGTTTGGCTTGCCGAACGAGGAACGAAAACCCGCTCATGCAGGACAAGAGCAAGGTCACCAAAGAGCATTTCAACCGAAGTTGTATGCTACAAACTCCGATAGGTGCCCGGTAGAATTTTACAAAAAGTTTCAAAGCCACCGTCCTGTGGAAATGAATAAACCGGACTCACCATTTTATTTGGCTGTCAAACACAATTGCAGAGCTAACGACCAAATCTGGTACAAGAAGTCATCGCTTGTCAAAAACGAAATTGGGAACTTTCTGCATGTCAACTGCAGCAAAAAAGGGGAACTTCCAACAAGGTCAAGGAGCAAAAATTACCAACCATTCTGTTCGGAAAACATCAATTTCAAGGTTACTCGACGCTGACATCCCTGAAAATTATGTAGCACAACTGAGCGGGCATAAAAGCATCGACAGTTTCAACAACATCAGCGAAAAGTGTCTTTAACATTAAGTATAGAGGTCAAATCGAAACTAAATCCAACGTGAGTCAGTCAACAAGCTGCAACCCAAAATCAAGTCCGGTCCACGTACGTTTTCATCGTGAGAGTCCTATTGATCTACTGTAAGCCCTTTCGATACATGTAAATTTGTATTCTTAACAATATTGAATTTGAAAATTGAATATTTCATTGAAAATGACTAAAGCCATGTAATAATTATCCCATGCAACTGTTAGGAAGGGCGAAATTTTGAACGGAGAACAAAAATCCTAAAGGAAAGGTGAAGTTTCTAAAGGGGGTGGGGGGTGGGGGCGAATTTCCTAAAGAGGGGCGAATTTCCTATCTAGGAATTTCGCCCCCTAGCGGCGATATTATTAGGATTTTTGCCCCTGGAGGAGGGGCGAAATTGAAGGGGGGGGGGGGGCGAAACTCCTGGAACACCGGGCAATTTCCATCAATGTCAGGAAAATCTTTGTCAACCCCTTTGGTCACATTGAGATTTTCGTAGCAACACTGTCATGACTGCCTTAGCAACAACAAAATCAATAGACAGATTTAGATCGAGGACGCGGACGTCAAAGACGACGTGAAAATGGCGTGTTGTGCCCATGTATGGATATGCCACGCCATTTTGACGCCATTTTCACGTCGTCTTTGACGTCCGCGTCCTCAATCTAAATCTGTCTAATATCAACAAAGTTTACAACCAGCCGAATTTCGACCGAAATGAAGGAAAACACCCTCATTCATTGGAAAATCCATTTTTATATCACCCATTTAAGATAAACTTAATGATAAAACTTTGGGAATTTATATTTTACAGCATTGTACTAAATTTGTGCGTTCTGTCGAGGTTTTTTCCATGATAATAAACTAATTTCGCTGTTCCTAAGGCGACGGTGCTAAGGAGAGTACATTGTAGCCAATATAGGCACTCGTTTTTACATCGGGCACTTACATCTAGGAATTGAATGTGGACCCATTCGGAAGCCTCAATTTGTCCTTTTCGATCTTTCGATTGACTAAAGTTTATCCCGCAATGCTCACTCTACTCTTAGAATCTCTTTGTTGCTAACAGTAAAATTACTTCCGGTAAAGAGCTGATCTCAACAAGGCTTAGTAATGAATGCGCGGAAATAGACAACGAAAATCCGATGAAAACATATTTTTTGACAAATGTAGATTTTGTTGAACAAAAAATTAGCACATATTTGAAAATATTTGATTGACAATATACATCATGCAGTTGGTCACGAGGTACAATTCCAATCTTTGTTTTAACCTCATTACACACTCTGGACTTCGGCTCGTTTAGGCATTTATATTTTTAAATGAAAAATATTGGTTAACCGTAGGTCCTTAAGTTCGCCTGACCGTCATATAGATTGAAGTAATGCTTTGTGGAGAATAATGATTACTTCATATATTTGAACAACTGCACAAATCATCGGTTGCTACGAAACACCAATTTATTTCAATTATTTTTCTGCTGTTTCGTATTAAATGATTATTAACAGATATAAACTTTTGACTGCTACAAAAATGAAAACTTTAGCACGAATGAATTAATTACTATTTGGCAAATTGCCGATATTTGTTTTTACGTTTCTGTGTAAAAATCTATAAGAGCTGCATTATGTATATGCATTTTTATCAGTGAACCGATTTTAAAAATACGAGGATCATTAAACAAATCCAAATCTTCGAAGAAACGAAGGAGCTCTTTTTACAAACCACAACTGCCTCTTGCGATTCTTACCTTCATAGTCACGACAGTCATTGAATTGTTCAGCTAAAGCGAAAGGTCGACAAATCCTTAGTATTTACTATAATTTCCCCTGGTGCTTTAATAGAAAAAAACTGCTCAAGCTATTATGATCTCGACGGGTGGCGTTATTGCTACTTAGAATAAATTATTGGTCTCATTAAAAATCAAGGAGAGGCAGTTGAAGGAGATTAAATCGTGAAAGTAGTTTTAATATCAATAACAAATATTTTTAGTTGAAACTCAAGAGCAACTCCAGCTTCGGACCAAGTAAATTACCAAGTAGAAATCAAGTGAACACGAGGTACATTGTGGAATATACAAAGAACAGTAGCAGGTAGGCTTTGAAAGCATGCCGTTGTTTGCCTTTCAGGCATTGTTGTGGCAAGACGTTATATTATAACAAGAGTTATACTTATAAAAACACGGCTAAAATAGTATAACAAGAGACAATACAACTTTTGGATAATGTGTACTGTCAAGCAAAATTATGTGCTAAGCTTCAAGCTCATGCCATTGAAATATTAGACGTTAAAATATTCTTGAACTGGGAATCCTTTGATCTTTCATTGCGTATTGCTAATTGGAGAAAACAGAGCAGAGGTATTTATAGTGACAATACTAGCATATCTGCGTGCACGGACTAGCATATCAATAGACACCCATGTCATTATATCTGCGTGAACGGGTCAGTTGTAACGCAAAAAAAAATAGAGCTACAGGTTATTTTGACAACACGGACGTTAACCGGAAATCGACTGAGCTGCTGTAGATGGCGAATGATGGCGATAGCCGCTCTTATTTGAAATGACAGACGTGAAACTTCACTGCCGATCGTAATTTAAAACAAGGACGGCTGTCGCCATCACTCGGCATTTACAACAGTTCGATTCAGTGACTTCCGGTTGGCATACGCGTTGTCAAAAACGTCGCTTGCTCATAAAGTATGAGAAACTGAGAAAGCGTTTTTATAAATACATTGAAAATGTCATTACATCGGTGCTTTTCAACCAATCAATAAATACATCGTGGTTTGAACGGATGGTATCATTGTGGACTTTTTGTCCCTTTAGCTCAAGAGTGTACTGTTGAAATCAAACTTTTCTAATTTGTAGTTCGGTTAATAGTCGAAAAAAGATATTTGTTGTGTGTATATTCCTGTATCGCACCAGCCTCTTTTAATACTCCGAAATTCTCAGAGATAAATAAAACTAGTTTCATATTATTCTGACACTACAGAGTACAACGGAAAATGCGTTGTCTCTTCGAACTCGTATCACTTCGGTTTCTTGACCGCCGCCCTACTCATCGAGCTATGGTTCTGAAATAGCATTGAAAGAGTGCGCGTCCTCCAAGACAAGCGTGAAGTCGCTGCGAAAATATTTTGTGCACCTAAACTGGATCGATAAGACGTCTGACTCGCGACCAATCCCCGTTGATTCGATAGCTCAATGAGTAGAGCAGCAGTCTAGAAACCATGAGATGCGAATTCGAATCCCGCTCGAGACAACGAAATTGTCGTTGTACGTACTCTGCAGTTCTAGATTGATATGAAACTATAGTTTTTCATAACTTCTAACTATGACATCTGTTCAGGTCTAATTCTCTCTAGGTGCAAAACATGTACGTTTCTGTATACAACAAGTGCACATATCGCTATTTATTTATATGCAATCAGTATATAAATATACAAACAATTGATATGTACCTCAAGAAGAGCCTGCGGAGGAGGCAAGGGAAAGTAGGCTCATAAAGAGGGAGGGCGATTTAATCTTATTTTTCCAACCAAAATTTCAATTTTCTCAATCCCAATCACCTCACCCACTATTTTGCCAAATCATACTTCTTAGTGCAGGTCAAAGTCCCATTTTTCTAATGACAAATAGACACATTCCATTTTAACGTTTGACCTTTCATAACCTTCGGAAACAGCGCGGAAAGCGGGGACATCTTGAGATTTTCCGGTAAGGCAACGGCATGCAATCATGGGAATTTCTAGTCTAGGCAGGTGTCTTGGCAGGTGGCTCTTTAACTAAATTTCACTTGTCAACTCTGATGAAAACATGAAAAAGTCTACATTAAATAAACATCAGAAAATGGAGGATATAGTTTATTATTTGGCTTATTTCAATCACCAAAACATTACTCGGAAAGGCAAAGTTGCTCAAAGTTCTCAAAAGATGTCGAGCCCAATATATAGCCTGTCAATAGGGAAAGCCTTAATCCATTTACAATATCATTTTCATGCAAGTCATGTAATGGGGAAAGTTCGAAATAGCCAAAAAAAACTGATAACTATTTCTTTGACTGCATGGAGGGACTAAATATTAGCATGCACCTTCAAGAGTGCACAGAGGGGAAGGAGAAAGTGAGTTAAGGGAGCTCCAAATGTAAAATTATTATTTTGAAACGATCTCCGACTCCGGTCCTCAGATTTACTTTTATGGGTATTGAAGAATGCCCTAACGTCCCCCTTACGTACCTAAGTGCTACATGCGATGGTAATCACTATGGCCCCAAAGATATTTTTGTCCTGTGCTCCGTAATATTTCTGGGCGGTCATGTGTACCGTACCCGAAACCCAGCATGGACTCTTCTACCGTCCTTCAAAAAAATCCGCGCAATGATCCATGAAAATGCTCTCAGACCAGAACAGATTCGTTTAGTAGGCTAGTGTTGCTTTTCCCTTCGGAACTACGCAACGTTGATTTCAGCTTAGAGCATAATTATTTCGATTTGAAGCCTTGATTTTCATTTAGATATCGCTAATATATGTCATACGATTATATACGTACACAACATAGCCTAAGGGCTAAGGTGCCTATAAAGGCTAAGGAAAGTAAAAAAAATTGATGCATGTTGCTTTGTAATATTTTCACTTATTTCCACATGAAAAGAGCGATATATCTCGATTTAAATTAATCATTTGAACGCTCTTTTATTGTTTAGGACATCGCCCCTGTATTGCCCACACACTAAGTGAAACGGTTGTTTTGATCACTATTTATCTGAATATTAAGTTCACTATCTAGGTCTGTTGTACTGGTAATGCAATGCGTGTGGGCTACACGAAGATGCTATTTTTGCTTTTATATTTTTCTCAAATCATTCGCGTTGTGTATCATATATTATTATACTTTCAAGCTGTCAATCAAAGTAACTTTAACATAGACTAAGAAACCTGAACATTGCCACGGCAACAAATATAATGAATAAACAGAATGTCATCTTATATAACGAATTACAAATTGGGACAAAATGTTTTGTGAACAAAATTTTACCGGTGAAAGTCACGGTGAAATATATCTAGAAGTTCTTCTATATTTACTGACATGCATATTATATAACTTTTTCTATGGAATTTTACTATACACCATTTGTCATTTCAAATAAAACTTTCATGATTCTTGTAAAATTTCAAATAAAATATGCAGTTCACTCGTATATTTAGTCGCAAAACAACGCCCAAAGTATCGCATATCTAAAGAATAGCTAAACTTCCACAATCAGCATGTGCATATACCTTTAATATTAGTGTTGTATACAGAGCCTTCAATTTGTCTTATATATACATGCCGGCTTTCATCAAATCAGTTATATATGATTAACAGCGTCTGACGTCAAACGCAAGCGCGTTGTTCAACATAATTTTAATAAAAAAATTAAAATTTTGCACCTATCAGGTTGAACAGCCGGACATTCTATACCTGCAATTCTATCACTAAATATTCATACATAAGATATTATACACACTGAATATAATAGCCAAGAAAGTCTACTTGAAAACCTTTTGGGCTGTTTCTTCTGTAAGTATATTACGCTTGTATCTAATTGTCATTTCTATAAGCAGTAAAATCTGTTGTATTGAACCTGTATTTTCTGTTGAGCATGCGACAACTTTTTAATACTTGCTGTATAATTAATGCGAATCCACAGAAACGTTTATATAGAGCAGTCAAGTTATTCTTTTGCTTTATTTTTGCATGAAAATTCAGATATATATGCAGTAACAAATGTACATGCATGCATGTTTGAAATAAATTATCATCTAACATTTGATATATATATAATATGGAAAAAAGTTTGTTGAAATATTTCATTATAAATGCAGTTCACACAGTATCATTTGCAGTTAACCTTGCCTTTTGTTCTATTATAAGCTAACTTATTTATCCCGGCCAACTGTTTCTGGATATTTTCTCTTTAATAATGTCTGTTTTTATTTTGCTATATAATTTGAGTTAAGGCATTGTATATTTAAAACGTGTTTTGAAACCGCCTTTATATGTAACGTGGTAGTATATATAGTAGCTAGTCCATATTGGCAAAATTCAGCTTAATATTATGTCAATCTTCATGCATGCATACGGCCGGGTTGTCGGAAATTTACATTTCAAATAATGATTGCTTTATTCGGCATCCTATTATGTGCATGAATCGTAATTAAATCGTGATTTAGCACTGAACATTTTTCATGTTTCTGAAAATGATGATTGACAACGGCAATGAAATTCATTTGAAGTCCGCAAATAAAGAAATATATATATAATAGAAATTTTTTCTTTATGCGTGTATGCAGGTGCAAATATTGTCTATTGATTTATTAATATTACGTATAGCAGATCTAGATCAGTTAAATTATATTGAAAAACAAAAAAACCATGCAGCCTAGAGATTTTGATATGTTTCCTATATGAAAACAATTTTGTTGAACGATTTTGGGTTTTGTACCCACGCTTCATATACGAAACGCCTAAATGTTTTACTTCACATGGCTCAATCATTACTTGTCAATCATATTTGATGCATGAAACTTCAACACCGATAGCTTTGACTTTGTTGCATGCTATTAAAAACAAACTATATAAATTGAAACGACCAAAAATGGACACATTGTCATGATTGAAAGTCATGGAAGGGCATCTATATAGAGGAAGCGAAGAACAACGAAACACCAGTTAAACAAAACATATTTTAAACAAGTTATTTTGTATCCGTTTTATACAGAATCTTCTCCCAATGCCGTGGAAACCGTTGGAGCGAGAATGCCTATACCTTACATTTCCTAGGTAGTAATATTTAATAAATTGAATCCTTGAATTGCTTGCAATAAAATCCCTATATCTGACCATTATTTTAAATCGGATCTTACTATTTAGGTGTAGCTATATATATTCTTGGAAATATTACTTGTTGAAGGACAAGCAGTATTTTTAATAATTTTGTGGGGGAAATGGGACAGCACCGGAATCGTATTCCTGTATATAGATGCATGCATGGGAAGAAACCATGAAATGGCGTTTCCCTAAATCAATCCACTTGTTATTTAAAGGCACAGTTCAGCCTTTTGAACGATGGTTTTTAAGGCGCATTTGAGCCCTTTTAATTGAAAAAACTAACTAGGAAAATCAATTAAGCATAATTCAAAATCAGTAAACTCGATGTTTTTAACAATATAAATGTTTTAAATGTTAAAAACATTCAGTTTGGTGATCTTGAATTATGCTTAATTGATTTTCCTAGTTAGTTTTTTCAATTAAAAGGGCTGACATGCGCCTTAAAAACCATCGTTCAACAGGCTGAACTGTGCCTTTAATATAGTTTACACTAATTAACGGACGCAGTGCATGCTTGTACACACAAATTGCTAGCTTGTGTATGCTGTATTGCTGTTTTTGTCGAAATCCAGTCTAAAACTGACTATGCACTGCTATATAAAACCCAACGCTGCAGAGTCTCTCACACAAAGTCGCGTTATGGAAATCGCTATTCGGTGTAGCTATATGGTCTGGTTTGGTTGTACCCAGGTTTAATACACAAACCTTACAGCTTGTACATATAGGGACGCGTTGCCAAATTTCAAACAGTATAAATGCTCCGGAATTACTTCACAAAAACTATGCATGGTAATGCAAGGCGAAATTTTAGGACTATATATGGTTAGGAATGTATTCGCTGCATTTTAATTGCGGAAGTTAACATGCATGAAAACGAAGCCAACGCGTACAATATAAAATAGGGTTAATAATAATATAAACCGGTTTTTCGGGAAAACCCTTAAACGACGAACTGCTGGACAGCACGCATGACATATGTCCCTATACGTTACGTTTGAAGTTTTGTACACGAGTTTTCAACGCATATAGAGGAAACTTTTCATGTAAGTTATTTACATGCAGTTTGCATGCAGTTTGAATGTTAGGTTTATATGTCACGAAAGAAAATCCTTTAAAACAGATTTCTCTGTAGAAACTCGATCTGCAAATTATATATTCAAGACTGGCGAAGTGTAACGAGCTTTTATAGTTTACAAAAAATTAAATTAAAAGCATGCACCAATACAATATAAATATGGCGGCATGCAACTTTACTATAGGTTTTGTATTAATTACTTTTTACCCGCATCAGCATCGTGTATAGCAAAAAATTACTTGCTTGCATGACTGTGAAATGATAACAATGAACATGATTTTGAATATGATTGTCATTACTGGGGAAAACTATAATATATTTAATTTTGCATGAAACTTCGCTATTTCTACAGCCCCATTTTCACGTTTAAACTTGGCCTATAAAACTTATAATAAGATCAAGCGTCAGAGCTAGCAATTGCTTCAAACGTCGAACCGCCGTTCTCCGTTAGCGCCGTATAAATAACACACGTCACGCTTTCTTACATGGCAAGTCCATCTCCAAAATGCAGCATTTTGATTGGTTCCCGAGCATGAAAGTCGGTAACCTGCAGTACGGACCACTCATTGAGCTAATAATATATGGATCGTTAGATGGACCGCGCTGGCGAAGAAAAACACAACTCTTTTCTCAGTATAAAAGACTATATATATATATATATATATGAGACCTTGGTAAGTTTTTTTTATATAAAATAACTTACTATTTTACTCTAGTTTGATACCTAATACTTCCGCCATTGAACGGCTTTTTCGGTGAAACTTTGAAACTGGACTAAAAACTGTTCCGCTGTGTTCGACTTTTAATATATTCAGTAATATATTCTTTTAATTAAAATATTCAGAAAATCCTGCGTTTTTAAATGTTAAAATATATATAAACTATACTTAAATTAGTTAATTCTCGACTTATTGACTGAGCTTGATCGGTCTGGACAGTAGGATATTAGTCTCGCTTTTTTAGTAAAATAACAGGAAACTATAGGAACCAGCTAATATATCCTACAGGAAACTATAGGAACCAGCTAATATCCTACAGGAAACTATAGAAACCAGCTAATATCCTATATATATATATATAAATCATTCAATGATACATCAGAGCTCATATAACAACTTTTTATTACGTTTCGGGGCAAGCCCCTTCTTCAAAGTTGTTATATGAGCTCTGATGTATCATTGAATGATTTATATAAATGTTGGGCTCTAGAGAAAGTTGGCTCAGTGATAGATTTTTATATATATATATATATATATATAAATATATATATATATATATATATATATATATATATATATATATATATATATATATATATATATATATATTAAGATGAAACTGTTCTAGAGTGTGTATTATATAATTTCCATACCCAGCGCAAGCAGAAAGATGTTGTCTGCCGCGGCTGGGTCTTGAACCCGCGACCTTAGACCCAGCCGCGGCAGACAAAATCTTTCTGCTTGCGCTGGGTATGGAAATTATATAATACACACTCTAGAACATTTTCATCTTAACATATTACGGAGTGTACAATTACACAACTTAACATATATATATTATATATATTATAATATATATATTATATATATTATATATATATATATATATATATATATATATATATATATATATATATATATATATATATATATATATATATATATATATATATATATATATATACGGATGCGAATGTGGGACACACACTTACTTACTTACTTACTAGATCGATCGACGATCTACCAACTGTAATTCCTTCGCTTAGCACGGGCAAGTGAATTGTGAAGAACATAGAGAGCTAAGGGGTTACTCTCTTGTTACAAATGTAAATATTTATACATTTATATTTTAGGTTATCATTGTTTTATATATTTTCTTTAACCTGGTAACTGCACAAATGGGTTATAATACTGGACATTTGAATGTTGAAAACTCCAACTGTATTATAAAATATTCTGCGAAGACATAGCTATTTTCTTACAACGCTTATAGGAATTTGATTTTAATTGGTAAATATCAAGATTAATTTGGGCATCTCAGTCCATTGAACGAATGTTAAAGGGCTTTGTAGATTGAATTTTCGACTGTAGGCCTACATTTCATGGATTTATTTACACCATAACCCAATAATTATATGGATCAAAAGGAAGACGTAAATTATAGATGGCCATATTTCGAACCTATATTATGCAGAATAATTATCAGACAAGATATTTTGTCGATAATTATATTGATTTTCCCAAAATGTTTCGTTTTTCGGTTTTTACTGTTTAATATTTTTTGGTCAAGTAAATTTAAGTAAAACCAAAACGAAAACCGCATTATTTGTTATATTTAGACCTCTACACTATACTTATATGATGCTATTCAATGAACAATGTATAGGTATTAATTAATTTAGTGATGCCTGTTGTGTCTGAAGTCATTCTTGAAGTATAAATTTTATTGTACGTTATGAACAAAATAATTATGGAATGAATATTAATTTCATATTTTCTCAAATATTTTTAAGTTTACCTGGAAATGCGTTTTCAAAAGATGAAATTCACAGAATGTGCAATTATCACCGCCGTGATTCTGTTTTTGATGATGGAGGAAATAATCGCACAAGCTAATTGTTCAAAGCGTAAGTTAATAAATTATAAAATCGCTATAAATTTTAAAATGCAACCTAATCCACTCAATGGGTTATTCAGTACTGATACTCTGCATGGCTGCCATTGCGTGACTCATGTCTCACCACGGACCACATGCAGCTGTAATGAATTGTTTTGTGGGATTCGTTCCCAATCACGCTTTCAATTACATTCCGTGCGGAAGGAAACCGTAGTGCCCGGGACTGAAAATCAAAACATCTCGGTAAAGAGTATCCATCATTCGAATAATAGCGAGATTCAGATTCCAGTACCAGTACGCTATACCACTACCTCTCACTGGCTTAGTACACATCTGATTGGTTAATCAGATAGATAAAGCGCATTTTATTGGTTAATGGTCCTTGAATTAATTGTAGTGGTAGGGGTAGTGGAAGTCAAAGTGAACCTCTCTGACATAAGTCCTCAAAGATAATCAAACACACGGGGGTGAAGCCACCAACTCTGACGCCTCTAAAGCCCCCAACACCGGCTATAACTAGCGAGCTTAAGCAAGCAACGTTTTTGTCAACACGGACGTCAGGTTGTTGAGGGGGGACTGCATTAAAAACGGTGTTTGTAGCAGTTTTTTCTATGATGCAAAACGCCGCCAAAATTTGAGATACCAATTTTCCTGTGACGTCCGTGTTGACAAAAACGTCACTTGCTTAAAACTCACTAATATTACATTTTGACAGCCAGTATGCACATACAGAATAAGAAATATAGGATATTACACGGTTGCGAAAAGATATGGATTTTATGTTCGAGTGGAAAATAAAATATCTTACGAGTGAGCGCAGCGGACGAGTGAGATATTGTTTCTGACACGAGAACATAAATCCATATCTTCTCGGAACCGTTTAATGTTCTGTTCATCATATGGACTTATTCAGGGTGACCAAAATACACACAAAGACGATATGTAAATAAGCACGCGAAAGACCAGTGTAAAAGCGATATTTTTTAAATTATAGTGCAAACATAAAACTAGAATAAATGTTACTTATCTCAAGATACCTTTTAAATGTTTTCGTTTTATTTCCAGCATTAATTTCGTTTTTAATACGAAACGAAGACCATTTGCATTTTCAAAACAACAACAATGAAAATGGCTGGAAATTTTCGAACTTCATATGTCACTAGCAGGGGTGAAATACGGAAAATACGCGCACCTGTTCCCGGATGTAGTGACGTATGAGTTCTACGAATGTTTTAGTTTCTAGTAAAAGACCATTGTCCAC